TTGTTAAAGCTTCTCACTCTTCTTCTCTTTCTCGTTGGCTGGCTCAACTCTTGTGTCAGGGTATCATCTCTCTCTCCCTCTCTTTCTCTCTCCTGGCCGATGCACGCACAATTGATTCGGTAAAACTGCGAGCCGAAGCGCACAGAGCCGCTGTAACCGCAACAACACGGCCAGAGGGAGATTTAATCTTTTTTTTCTTTCTTTCTTTCACTCGTGCGTGTATGGATATATAGACTGAAATGGACACCCCTGAGCGCGTGTACGCGCGTAATCGTTTCCTCATTGTTGTGCAAAATCATTCGGCGCAATGGTTCTCCTTACAGGCCTGTGTACAGTGCACACTCGCGTACTTATGAAAAGCGTCGAGCGATCGAAACGACGAGCGCTAAATAACAACCACTCAATATCGTCCATTAGTTTTTCCTTTTAATAAATTTCCTCGATAGCAATAAAAATGAGGAAAAATAACGTTTCCAGCAAGTTCATGAGAGAGCGTATAATTCGCTAAATGCAATCGATGCTTTCGCTCGTCGGTCGCTTGGCGGTCTGCAGTGCGCACGCAAAGAAAAATATCGCATAAGAAAACACATCAATTGCGAGCATCGATGCACATGTACGCGTATATACTTGCAGATTAAGAAAAAAAGAAGATGAAAGTTTTCTTATGCCATTGAAGGTATATGAGAATAAAATACGTTTTCAATAAGTCGCAGGGTGTAGCTATAGGTCAGCATTGATCGCGTTGCAGGCACGTCTACGTAGGATAAGCCGCACAATGAAGCACGGCCCATCGAAGCGCGTAAACGCAAAAATAGCCTTCCTCTCTCCTGAGTACGTGGCTACACATGCACAATTGCACAGGCAGGCTTAGTACAGGCGTATTGTGCTTTTCGGCGGCGTCGCGGAGGGTCCTGCGTTCGAACCGCCCTCCAAGCGCCACAACGTGTCCGCAGCCTAGCTAGGTAGTTCGTACGTTTCCGGCCGCGCTTACGATACCTTCGATTCTGACTTTTCTCCGAAAAGTTGATGCCTATTACAGGCGATGGGATCAAGTCAACCCCCCTAGCCTACATTGAGGCCGCGAGTGACCGGTCAAAATATCTCATTGTTTGCCCAACTCAAATGTCCCCCAGTACATCAGCCTTTCAATTTTATATATTAAACCTCGCGCGTACTAAAATATTCCTGTATTGTATAAGCTTTGTCTTCTTATTATAAGCGTCGAGCTGTGAATATACATTTCAAGGCATAAATCAGCTTCGCATCAGAACCTTTTATATGCATTTCGATGATACGTAAAGTGTCAATTGTTAATTTGATGGACTCGTGACACATCTACGACCAAGATGCGACATTATTAAACCTCGTGTCGTATACCTTGCTTCTTATTGATTCACCATTGTATGAAAATAAAAAGTTGAAAAATAGACCAGCCAAAAAATTATTTATTTTTCATTTAGGCGAGGAAGCAGTGAAAAATATTATGAATAGGTATAACCAATTGAGTTTTATTTTCTCCTCCATACTTTGATGATTAAAAATGTCTCTTAATTCTATATTATATATTTTTCAATGTAGAATTGTGCTATTAAACTAACGTCGCTACACATTAATCATGCAAATCAATTGCTTTATCTTTCGATTTCGTATCTTAATTGGTACAATATCCTGATTCCGTTGCATCATCGTGATAACGTTGAATCAGCTACATAATTGCTAATTTTTATATAATTTGACGTAGATGATTTTTATCATAAAAAAACAGCGAAATTAATGAAAAATATGATACAGCGCGTTTCATGGATGATTACCTTAACTACACTGAACAGTCATTAGAAAAAGACGTACACAGAATTAAAAATGTTTTCTTTTTTCACGTATAAGTTTTTTAAAATAGTTGTGCCCAGTCTCTGCGACGTGTTTTTTCTGTTTCATCGGCTCGCATTAATTTCATTTTCTAGATTTACTATATTCAATAATGTCCGTGAAAATTGTTATAAGGATTATAATATAATAATTTTAAAAGATGATGTGCATTTCTTAATTAATAATTGCTTTACGTCTATAAATTAGATATGTATCATTTATGTGAATTTATAGCGTTTGTGGTGATTTTAACATGTTTTGTCAACGCATCGAAATAATGTTTAACGCTGTATGAGTTGCTTTTGTTTTTCTTATTATTGCTTGATTTCACCACTAAATTAGAATAAAAAAGCTTTTCACTAGACTTTTTGCAAGTGTGTACAGTGAAAAAAGTGTCTTGAAATTTTTACATGCTCTCGGATGACTTTTTCATTTAATATTTTCCAAATTGGCTTTTATACACATACTCAATTTTTCGATTAAATTTTGTTCAAATTTTTTTCGTGCCGAAGGCTAAAACATAGTAATTTTGATTTTGTAATTTTTTGATATTCTCTATAATATTAGTTTTGATATTATGCGTTTTTAAATAAAAAAATTTTCAATTTGTTACTGCAGGAAATTTGGACACTTTTAACCAGCGAAAATAATCTTTTTAAAAAATTATTCATATAACTCATACCGTATTCTTAGTTGCTCAATAGAAATATATCTACACATGGATAAACAATTTTTTTGGCTTGATCACATGTGCTTAATATAATTTCTTCGCGTGTACATAGCCTAACTAATCGATCATAATCGAGTTTTTCCTGAAATTTTGTTTATCGTGTCTAGACCTAATGTAATATTTCGTTGCACAATTAATCTAAATTTGAACCTCCTTCTTGGATTTCTTTTTATATTTTATACATTCATTATTTTCATATGATTGTGCTATCTCATTAAAGCAATCAATTCTTATTTTTTATTATATTGAATAATGTTTCAAGAATTATAATTTAATATGCTTATTGATTTTTAAACGAATTTATGAAATTCTGTCTGTACCAACTAATAAATTCATAATGGAAATTTTTATTTGTCAAAAAGGGCTCAAATCATTGAACATAAGAAGACTCGATAATAAATATAGCAGTTTTTAAAAATTGTTCTTGACGTTTTTATGTCATATATGTTTCTTTTTTTGTAAATACGAATTTCATGTAAAAAATGCAACCCAATTGTGAAATATCCGCTATGTATTTGAACAAAAAAGGTTGAAACATTTTTTGACTTACACAGACGGGTATGTTAAAATTGTATGAATTATATAAAATTAATGAATCGTTTTTGTGGTCACATACTCGCGATCATATCTTTGCAATTATACTTTATATTTATAATTAATTAAAATACGATAATGAGATTATTGAAACCTAACCATACATTTACAGTAATACAGCTATAATAACTTGTTATGATTTAAAATTATTGTAAATGATTATTTTATTACTAGAACGCTAAATTGAGCATATTTACAATAAAAGTATTCACCGTCGATTAAGCAATATCTCTAAAATGTTCAAATTCTCGTTCATTCAAATTTCAATCAGGCACACATTGTAATATATAAGTTCAAAACATAAAAACTTAAAAATAAAATACACCGATAGGTTCATTAAAATTCAGATTTTTTTCAGTTGTTAATAAAATGTAAAGTTCCAATTCTACATAACTATTATACATATTTTTTGGTTTCAATCATATTATTTATTTACAGTAATGCGAGCGATTAAAGAGGCCAAAAAGCATGCAGATATTTTTTTGAGATTTCATTGTGAGGTATAAATTTAGGCTTATAAAAATACACGAGCAGTAGGTTTTTGAAAAGCTTTGAGAACCTTAGATATGTTCACATGGTCGGATTGATTTGTATTTGTAAAAACTCCGTCGCTTTAGGCCTTGCATTAATTTTTCCGAATGGCATTACGGTACTTTAATCAAAATTATGCAACGCAAAATTTAAATATTTGGCTTACATTTTTCGAAACTATTTCATGCAAATGATGTACGAGTGAAAAGTATATATTACCAAAAATAAATGGATTTTGGCAAACTCGCACTTACGTGTACAACAATATTTTAATGATTAATTTTTTTAGCAAGTAGTTTGGTCTTATAAATGCACAATGAAAATGAAACATTTTTTCATACACAAACTTATATAGATGTAGTACATGGTTCGATGTTCGAAAGTTTTAGTTCAAACATATACTATGTACAAATTACTAATTATTACAATTACGGCTTGTTTCAGTCGTTATTTATCCTCTGAATCATAATAGTCTTATGTCTAAATTATTTAATTTTTCTTGTATACTTATCTCAGCTGCATAAACATTGAATAAGAATGATTTCTTTATTCGTATAAATGACCATAATTTAGCATTACTACAAAATTTAGCCTGTTTAGTCTGAAAAAAATATCGATTCGAATTCATCACCAATATTTAGAAGCGTACGTAACAGTGCCAGAAAAATTTCCGAAAATTTAGAAACATTGCATTATTATTTAACTAATTTATAGATATACTTTAATTCATTTTGCTTTCAGTCGATTAAACCATTTGCCCCGCGTCACGCTGACCATTTTTGGTTTATGTTTTTTTTTAACATGTGAAGCGTCGACACGAAATCTCAATGGCAGATTACTAATTAAGATCAACGTAATTGGTGTTCATCCTTGTGAAATCAACAGTTACCGCTGTTGATGTCTAAAAACATTTATCTAAGCTAGGAAAATGCGCAAATTTATTTACTAACATTTATTGTGGCAAATTGAAAGAATATTTAAGAAAAAGTTTATTTCCTAGCTACATTATTTTTCTATCAATGAGTGCGTTTTTGCTCCATTATTTTTCATACAAGTTATATAATAAATGTACGATACTAAAAAAATGAAATTATAAACTCAAAATTGAAGTCAGATATTTTTTATAACAATTAATGTAAAATAGGTAATGCAATGAGGAAATTCTAAAAGTTGTAATAATTTCCAATAATGCATCATTTTTAAAATTCAATTTCAATGAATAAAAGTATTCTTTTAAAAAATGTGTAGCATAAGGAAACTCAATACTTATGTACACACATGAATTAATAAATGTTCATTTAATTATATATGAATCATCATTATGAAATATACATTTGACTGTTTATAGCGGTAGTATAAATACTTATATGTATTATTGCATTTCGCTTTTAGTATTAGGTGCAATCAAGTTGCACATGTAAAGCTCAAAAAAATTATATCCTATTATGAGAATAACAACAATAATACTAACAACATATCATAAAAGCAGTCATACAAATGCTGACAGTAAAAAATCACTTCTTTTCATTACTTGCAATAATTCAATAATTGCCAGAAGATTAGTCTAAAAAGCACTTGCTTAAAATAATTTTTTATCTAAAAATTAAATTTTATCACCTAAGCATTCATTATTGAGGGAGATTGACGTTATTAACTTGTTTCGGCGTTTCGATCACCTTTTGTTATTATTTACTACATCAAAAGAGTCTTGACTAAAATATTATATGTTTATATATCACAACACAAGAAGTCATTATTTTAAAATGTTATTAGACATTTGCTACTATTTTAAATCTCGTTTTTGTATCTATTGCGAATTTCTCTTTTTGCATTAGCAAACTCCTAATTGCCTTAAACTTAATATACGTATGTGCTGTATATGTACGTATGTACAAGGTTAAATACAAATCACTTAATATATTTGATACACCTCACGGAGGTTGTTTGATCACATTTCACAATATTGATATCTATATATATTTATATTTTTTATACTTGCTTCCTTTTGTTCTCACCCTCTTTTTGTCAGCAATTTGCTCATTATTTTAATACTAAACAAGAACACCTTTATGAATATAATTGAACAGGAAAGCACGAGGGATTATTGAATGATGAAAGAGTAATTTTGCACGAGCCACAAATAAATATTTCAGCCGTAATTCACGTTTGCATGCACGGTATTCATTACTACTATTATTGTTATTTATCAGTTTTACTCTTGAATAATATTCGATGTGCAAGCAGTGAAAGAAAAGGTTCTGCATGTGTGCGTGTGGGCAAATGTACATTTTTTTCTTCTTTAACTTTGGATTTGTGTTTTTTTGCCCCCTCGCGGCTTTATACTCTCGGATATCTGCCACATAGCTTCTTCGCACAAAAAATCACTAAAGTTATTAAAGAACGTTATTATGCGTTCGTTCTTTTTAAAATTGTACGTCCTAAAAAATCAAATTGAGCATATAAAACACGATTATTTTCTTATGCTTCATTGTTATTAATAATTTTAATATTTACCCCTTTTTGAATCGCTTCATATTTTCAACAATATTGAATTGCTGCCATCTTTTGGAAAAGTTGATGCTACCATCGGCTAACAAATCATTATTACCAATATGTACAAATGTCAGGTCTTGTAAAACTAGACCACTGCAAATAGAAAAAATAATAGTTGCAATGCCAAGTTATAAAATGAGTAAAATATTAATAAATGGCTTACATATAAGGTATACAAGGTGGGTGCGTTTCTGCCAAAGCCTGTCTATATGCCCGAAAACTGCTAGAGCTGTCAATCAATGCACAGTATTCCTTAAGACCTTCTGTTATGTGCTTTTGCCATTCCAATCGTCGAATTGGCGCACTATCTAAGGCCGAGAGTAGCGCGAGATAACTGTTGAAATTGTTGATTTTTCTCAAGTGCTTCATTATTTTGATGAACTTGACGACGTACTTTTCCCGATCTTTTGCTTCGTTTTCCATTCTATGTTCTAGAATACGAGATCTCGCCCAGTAAGACATCTTATTGAAGTGCTCAGTGAAACGAGTGAGATTCGGACTTCGCTCCTCGTTTTGCTCTTGGGCCCAGATCAATACTTCGGGTATCTCGATTTTCATGAAAAGTTCAGCATCCAGTAGAGTCATTTGCTCAGCTATCTGCTCGCTTTTGAAGTCGAGCAGGGATGCTTGCTTAGTCGTGACGCTCAGAGACGAGAGAATCGGCTGAGTGAATTGTTGCTGTTTGCAAGCGTGTTTTTCTAGGATTTTTACGCGCAGCGCTTTTGCCATAGTCAAATCGCCGCTGCAAACCAGCTGCTGCACGAATTCCATTAACGTTTGCATGAGTGTCTCGTCCAGATCTGATATACTGCGATAAGAAAAAGTTGTTATCATTTGACTCGGATTTCCGCGAAAGAAATACGAGAAATAACATTAAAGTATCTCATTTCACGTTGATTCAAAGTTTGTTGACTCACGTTAAATCGCTAACAACTCTGACCAGCAGAGAAAAGGCTTCCCTAGCAGCTCGTTGTTTAACTACATCAGGGGAACAAGAAAATCGCTGATGCCGTTTGTGCAATTTCTTGATCAGCTCCAGTGGAGACATGAATGTTCTGTAGGTTGTCAAGAAAGCTTCCTGATACAGGAAATCTGAAATTTGGCCAAATTTTATTAACTCGTCGTAAATAATTTTAAATATATTACTAAAAGTTTTGAAGTAAGCTTATATTTGGAAAAATTTTATAGAATAGCTAATAATGATGAACTAACCTGATTCTTTTTCGTCTACAGGATATCATTTAGGCAAAAAAGAAGATAAATAAGTAAATGAGTTTATAAGCTTTATGAAATCTAGTCTATGTATGATGGTTATTGGGTTTGATGTAATTTATACTATTATGAAGAGATAAAGTAAAGTTAAGCTTTGTCAATGGATGGCTTTTTTCATTTATTTTCCAACAACCTGTCTAAAAAGCTCTGGGTATAAACTCACCGTGTTTATTGGCTTTGGTCGCGTGTACGAGCAATGCGTCAGGATGACCACCACGAATATCGGGTCCATCTTCTTCCGGCTTTTTCAGTACCAAATACTGATTTATCTCTAATTCATCTAGAATGCTATCGTCCTGATCAACGTCTCGAAGTTCCAGCGAGCAATTATCGTCAATGGATATACTCGAAGGAGCTTTGCTCGCTGGCTTTGGTGATGTTTCCCGGACCAAATTGTTGTTCTGGAAAATAAATTAAACACTATTTAAAAGAGTTCAAATTATTCACGCGTATTGTATTAACTTTGAAGCTTGCAGGCGGATTGTTTCGGTTCAAAAACAAAATGCAAGAATCGTCAAATTTATTTTAAATGTTGCTGAGTTATTTATGAATAATAAACTTACCAATAAGATTGTGTTGTTCGGCGATGGTCCATCCGGTTTTTTATCCCTCAATATTACAGCATGATCTTCAACTTTCTTAGCACAAGTCATGGGGCTAACTGGGTCCACGCGAATACTTTGAGTCACTACGGTTGGTGGTGCTGCAGTAGCAGCAGCAGAAGCAGCAGCAGCCAACACATTGGATGCATTGGATTCAACTCTGCTGGTGCTTTTTAATCTTGGCGACACGGGAGGCGGTGTCGAGATCGATGCCGTCGACGACGAGGCAGCTTTTACGGATCGCGATCGTTTTGGTGGTAATGCAGGTGGTACACTCGAATCATTCATTAAATCTCGACTAATACTGCTAAAACTGCTGTGGCTACAATAAAAAAAGATACAACTTGATAATGCGAGAACCCGCGAATAAGGCTTGATAGTTTTAAATTGGGACGACTACAATCAGCATTAAAAATTGTTCATTACTAACAAATTGTTTGGTCATCTTACCTCGAAGTATCATGTTGTAGGCTAGACATAGTGTGGCTCATGAAAGAGCAAGACTGGGTCGTGAGTGACATTTCGTGCTGCTGCCATTCAGACTGCATGGAGTTGTAAGCGGCCATCGAATGTCTCGAGCCAAGACCCGGGATAAACTCGTTGCCAAAATCATTGTGCGAGCAGTTTCCGAACATCTCCATGTATGCCATTACTGCAAACAACGCATCATCAGTTAATTACTTGTCTATTCGATTTTCATCGAAATAATCGTCGACAGATTTTGCGATCTTTTTATGCTGTGTATAACTTTTGACAAACGTGTATAAGTCTAATAGACAATCATTGACGGTGATAAATTTATAATACAAAAAATATGATTTCACAAAAAAGTAAGCGTATAAGTGGCATTTTTTCATTTGAAATTAAAAAAAACTAGTGCGAGTATACATTGATAAAACACAATTAAGCTTCGAGCATAGTTTTTATAACGCCGTTTAGTAATCACATGAAACATCTAGCGATTTAAATCTGATGGGTAATACAGCGCGCGGAAATTTTCTGTTTTCTGCGTGTTACAGAGAAGCGCAATGATAATAAAATACAAATATACTTTTCGCCAATGCCGCTACGAGCCATTTCAGCCATGTAACACAAATACGTATAAAAATGTAATTTAACGATTTATTATGCGGAACATATAGTGACTGGAATTTATGCACGACATCAAGAGTGCAAAAAACGTAGATTTGCATTCGTTTTTTTGAGCATGACATGGCACCGTTTTGGCACTTTACGTACCGGTACACCAACTTAGCAATTGTGTCAGACGGACAGAAAAATGAAATAAAATTTTGCTCTCGGAGCTATTGAAGCAAGCGCTATTATAGGTGTGTAAATGACGTCAAGTACGCATGAACATAATGTTATCGTACAGTCAAATGTTTTTTTAATTTTTTTTAGCGCGTTGATAAATTGATCTTTTTAGAGCTACACCACGGAATGCTTTTGTTTTGTTTTTGTTAAATTTTTATTCGCAAATAGCAGCGAGACAAGGAAATAATTTTTTAATTACTCGATGAGAGGCAAAAACTATCGATGTGATAGTGTACTGCAATTATATGTTCATAAAACTGGAATACACAAAATGAACAGGTAAACTCACTTGATTTGACAAGCCTTAAAGTTGTAGTTTTTATTGAATCTCTGAATCTTTGAAAAATTTGACACAATTTCATGTTTACTTGTTTTTCACTCTTCATTCTCAAACGATTAAACATGAATTAAACAATAACTAAACAAAAGCACTGTTAACATCACGCAGATAGGTGACATGTTTTTTCACTCAAAGATAATAGCGGCCAAATAACATTTCAATTAACGAGGTAAATAAACGATATGACGTGAGCGTACAGCAGCACAGCACCTCGAACGCTCGAGTACGCACTGATAGCTGCGTCGCGCGCGAGCACGTTTAATTGTCAAGTCTCGCGCGCGCTCCGCGTCACTCTCTTTTCATGTGTACATGAAAAAAAAGTTACATGTATATACAAGCACACGTGCGACGCTAAATAGGATTGCGCAACGTGAGCGCGTACGCGTGCGGCTGCAAAACAAAAGGACAAGCTTTTTTTCGTCGAACTCGTCACAAGCTCGCCAAAGAAATTAGTCGATTCGATCAGTAGCGATGATGAGATAATTGCAAGCTTCTTCGAGTTCAAAGTCGTAAATCACAAAAACAATTGCAGATGGTATTATGTGTTAAAGCCATTGGCGTTTGTCGGCGTATTATGCGATCGTTAAAGATTAAATTTGAAATAATTTAAACGAGTTTTATATAATTGTCAGAGACGTCACCGAAAAACTTGTAAATTCCATCGCTTAATTTTTTTAATTCATTAATTCTCCCAATCTCTTACTTTATATATTATGTGAGTATTACGAATGATTAGTGGTAATAGTTAAAAGCCCGAATATCAAATCTCGAAGATTGAAATTAAATCACTACTATCGTAGAACATGGTAAATAGCCATAACAATCAAAGTACTAGCATTAAGTGACATCTAGCCATTAATGATTAAATACAGTACAAAAGCATGCCACAAGATAATGAGTTGAGTGTAAGTTTTAAATAAATATTCAATTAACGCGTTCAAGTGTACAAGCGGTACATAATGCGTGTATGAAAAATGAAAACGAAAAAGAAGAAAATTATCGTATGCAACTCAGCGTTTTCAAAGTGCGTTTTATTGTGTTTGGTAATTTGCGCCGTAGTTTGCGCAGTTTTTCTAGCTAACATCACAGCTATAGAATTGAGAAATCGTGTGGGACAAAAAGCCCACTTACCGGAATATGCCACAGATTGGAACACTGGAGGACAACAAAACATTGCATCAGTTTTAAACATCGTATCGCAAGACAAGAATTAAGATAAAGGTTTACATAGTGTTTCGATAATAACTATACGTATATAATATTGTAAATCCACTCATAAATATATGAACTCATATTCCAAGTAAAGATTATTTTCTCGTGATTTTGTCTTTACAATAATTATTTAACCTTGCACGTTTACGATTCATTTTCAAAGCAGTTTTCAATGTTCATTAGTAAAAAAAATGTTGACTTTTTTTAAATACGGCATTTCAATTGAAAATAATGGTACATATGCAGATTGCAAACATTTCAGTAATAACAACAGAAAATCACACGTTATCGCACAAAAATTGCTTTTCAGAGGAAAAAAATAGAACAAGAAAAAAGTAAAGAAAGAGAATGAAAGTAAGAGTAGTTAAGAGAGAAAGAAATTTTACTCTGGCCGAAGCGAAAATCACCGAATTTGAATTAAATCGCAATATTGATAGGTCAAGCAGACGACACTTACTGTGGCGTTTTTTCATGGGTAATGGTGGAGGTCTGTTATTGTCGACCGGACTGCTACCATTGCTCGTGTGCATACTGCAGGTCGACAAGTGTTCGTTTTCTGGCACATTATCGTACTGCGAGGGAAATCGATCCTTTCGACGTTTCGAACGCTTTTCTGGTAAAGCCGGCGGGATACCATTACCATCCGAGCTGGTCAGTGATTCGATTTCCTGCAAAATTCAAGATAACATGAATACGCTGAATATTTGCATTTTTTGATGGATTTTAGCGCAGAAAAAGCAGGCAAAATAAACAAGAGAATGTGAAAATAAAAAGAAATCGCATGCGCGCAACACCCACATATACCAATTTTTCCATAAAAGCCGGATCGTTGCTCAAATTCATTGTGCTGTGCAAACTCCTTGAGCTCGTGACGCTACTACTGCTGGTCGTGCTCGTCCTGTGGCTGAAGCTAGATCCGTTGGTTTCGCTGGATAGTCTTTGCTGATGTTGATGCTGTTGCTGCTGCTGCTGTTGTTGCGAGTTACTGCTGTTATAGCTGAGACTCTGTTGAGACGATCGTTTGGTCACGAGATTCGTCGACGATGCGGCGGTATAGCTTTGCGAAGACGACCTTTGCGAGTGCATCGACACGAAGCCCGACTCCTGCGTTTGCGTCGACAGTCGCTCCATTTTGCCTTCTAAACCTGCGCATAAAAAAGACAGCAAATGATAAAAAATGCTCAATTACAAAGAAATAGTTGGTATGCATTTGACAAACTCGTGAGCGAAGACCAAGTTCACTGGAATAAATCAAGTGCTTCATACCCGTTAATGAAAGTAGCAGCGCTATCGCTTCGAGTGCTCGGCACACACCAGCGTATATGTACACATATAGGCGCAGGCTGGCGTTCGGCGTACCGAGTTCTAATTCGGTATATCGACCGAGACGTATAAGGTTTTATTGGCCTATCTGCTGCTGCTGGATAGCTTTACACTTACCACTTTATATCGTGAAAATTAACCATACTCTAATTCTAAGAAGAGCCCATAACAAGAGTCATTGTGTGCATAATTAATTTTGCTTTTTTGATTCGAATACTCTCGCTATGAAGAGCCAATGAGAACTGAATAACTACGCACGAGTGTAATTCCAGCCTGCCTATAAAACACTCTCTCAATTTTGCAAATTGTTTAATAAAGATATAGAATTTTTTTAAATAGACAGTATAAAAAAAAGTAATCGGCGCTGTAATATTTTTTCCGTATCAAAATTATCCAAGCGATCCACGAGAACATAAAGGAGAAAAATGTAATTATGTACAGGTACATTACGCAGTGCAAAAAATAAAAATGGAACGCATGCGTTTTATCCAAATATATAACACTAACATGAAGTGACATTATAAAAATAAGTATCGTGACCCAAATAAATAAATTTCCCGTTAGCATAAATAAAGAAAACACTTACAGATCCATTGTTTAATATTACTCCACGATGACAATGAGATTTTTTTTCTTTTGCAGTCCATTGCATTTAACGAGAATGACGATTTAATTTTCTTTTCATATTATGCTATAAAGCACGCCGCGAAATTCATTTCAAAGGCCGCGTTAAAACTGCCTAGCCATGCGGACTTGACTTCACCTACACATTTATCTGCAAAGCAGCGGCTCAAAGCCGCGCGCGCGCGCCTGTATATCCCAGATGGCTAATTCGAGCTATATTTATATACGTACGAGCGACGGACGAATTGTGCAATTGAGAAAGACGTGTCAACTGTAGACGTTATGCCATCAGCGTAATATTATTATGCGAGTAGAGCTTGAGGTCCGCATTAACGAGCTCTTCTGCCGAAACATTTTCCTATACAGGTCTTAACGATGTCGATTTTATGTAATACCGACTTTATTGAACGATCATACTTCCATGATATTAAATATTTGTCATTGACTACTGAGAGCAATATCAACATATCCGTAAAAGATAACAATAATTGGATTCTACACAAAATATGATATTTTTCGACCAATTAATAATTGCATTATTTCCTCAAATCGAGTTTTCACTAAAATGATCAGAATGAAATGAGTGAATAATGACACTCGCTGCATCGTAATTCGGATCGAAGTCATCCTCGTTAATAATATCATACTCGCGCCGCGTGCGTTCAACGAACTCGTATTATTAGCGCGATGGCACTTATATTTGGAGCGAGAGAGAAAGCAAACAAACGCAATGCCAAGATTTTTCAGCCCGGAGAAATTGAATCGCAGCTCGAACTGCGCGTGTTGGAGCTTGCACGAGTGTAAATCATCGAAGATACGCCGCGCGACTATCAAGTGGATCGTTCAAGAGGCAGAGATAGACACTTACCAGTAAACTGACCGATCAGCTCCTGAGAGGTCTGATGCTGACCCAGCATCATCGAGCTCGGCAGACTCGCTTCCAAACCCTCCCAGCAGCCGCAGTGTGAATTGCTTCCGTTTACTTGCATGCCTGCAAATAGAGCGCAAAAATTAAGATTCGATTAAGTTTTTAGGTCCACGAGGACGTAAAATATCGATATGAATATGCTCGAGCTTTGCGTCGATATCGTAGAGTCTGCTTGACTCTACTATAAGCTGCAGCTGATACTGAATCAGTTTGGTACGAATGGTTATCATGTACACTGCTCAAAGTAGGGGCCACATGGCGCTCATTTGTCAACATTTTGCCTAATAACGATCACAATTTTTCTCCCCACGAAATCAAGCATAAAACACTTAGCAATTTGCTTTCTAACAAAACGGCCGAGCTGGTATTATTTTTCTGCGGTGCGAGTCAAAGTACAAAATCCATCCATAGATTATTTTCAATAATGCATTGTTTCGAATACACAAGGATTTATGCCAAACAAAGTGATTGTTTAGTAATAATGAAAAAATAACGCAAAGCCTGGGAGAGAAACTATACGTACGTTGACAAAAATCGTCGAAATGAATACGAAACGGCTTGGTCATGTCGGGAAACAGAAACGAGATTTTTTCCTCGTCCATGACGATTAATTTTTCGCCACCGTCAAAATCACCGCACTCGCACACAATCTATCAACGCGCACAGGCCGGGTGAGCGCAACCAAATTGTTCAAACTATGTAAACTTTTGACGCGCGCACCTTTCGAGAAATAATATACGCAACGCAGAAGCCGCAAAAGTGAGGCGCAAAGGCGAGAGCTACTATACGGAGACTGTATCGCTGACTAAGCGCAGCAGCCACGAGCTCCGCGTTCGGCCTATAATATAATGAAATTCACATATGGGTAGCTTTTTCTGCAATGCCGCCCCTACTCTGCAGCCGTTCGGATGACGACGACGCTCTTAGTGCTCTCTAGGCTGTGAGAACGTGAGAACATCTTACTTCTACGCGACTTCGATCTCTCCAGAGCGCATTGCCCAAAAATTAGTTACATTTAGTATTTTTCATTTTTAACAGACTTTTTAATCAATGCAGCGAAAAGTGTTATCGGCTTTTTTTAAATTTTAGTCGCACTAGTTGTTTCGCCAAAACTTTCAGCTAGAACATCATTCATGCATGGGAGTATATAATTATTTCAAGACAATCTCTTTCACTCGGTAGCGCGTTAAAATTTTCCTTTCATGTCGAGTTTTTCGGAAACAAAATACAAGTATAAAATTTTGTATTCGACCGAGAATGACGAATTGTATTTATTTTAATTACGATTTTTATATATATGCTGCAAAAACATCGTCTGACTAAATAACTAATTTCATATTCATGAATTATTTTTTTAGTTTATGCCATTAATTTCAGATTGATACAGCAATGCGTCAAAGAATAGTTTTCTACGGTGAATCATGGATAAAAATATATGCTTTGTTGTCCCTCGACTTTCAAATATTATGCTAATACGTTATGATTCACTCTCTAAAGTTATAAATAAGATGCATCTTTCAGACTCTTGGAAAAAACAAAAATATTTGGTTAATAATTACCAGGGAAGGTAGCCATAAGACTGAGATCAATACCATCAGTCGTGCTTTCCTCACCGGGGCCCATGATGGCCCGGATCTCGTCTTCGTCGCGCGACTGATTGAAGGCCGAATCGAGACTTCCGGCCGAAGCGCTAAGCAACGAGGACGTGTCTTCGGGCGATCGACTTCGCAATGAGCATCTGTCGTGGCCGCGACCGATGCTACCTCCACTTGGTACTGATACTGTCACTTCGTCTTGATGGACTAGTGGTGGATGATGCGATTGCTGCTGATGTTGCTGTTGTTGAGGACGAGCCCGACGTTTCGGGGGCAGAGGTGGTGGGGTGGCGCTTGGCGAAGTCTTATTGTCTTCTGTGCGAGTTATGCTCCTGCAAAGAGATTATTGACACAAAATGACGACTCATTGATAAATTATGCTCAGCACGTCAAGTTTCGCGAGTTTCAAAAACAAAATTATTCCATGTAAATAAGAAATGCTAGAATTTTGACATTACTCTGGAATTATTCAACATAAAAGCAGCAGACGTTACTCTCTGTAAGTCACGTTCATATTTATTCATTCAACGCGACATTCGAGCTGCAGAACGCGCGACTGCACAGCCAAAACTGCTCTACGTAGCCAACGTCAAAATGCAAATCCCAACAGACTCGGAGACGTTGTCGCAAACGGAAACTTTTCCGCAAACCCGTTTAAGCACGAAATCTTCTTTGGCGCAGAACTAAATTGAGAATTCAACGCTACCTGTCAGACTTTGAGGGCTTTGGCGGACTAGAATCCTGCAGGATGGACTCGGAGCTGTGGGATGCTCGCACCAACGCGCTCGACGCCGCGGACTGCTCGAGGAGCTGTCGCTCTCGTGGCGTCAGCGGTATGTCCGGCAGAGAATTCCGTTGCGGTGTTAACTCCGAAGCGTAACCGGACGTTCTGTAAAAACGAAACATCGATCGATTTTTTCCTAGCAATTTTTTTTCAACCCTCGACGTACGTATAGTAGGAGAGCGTTTAATAGGACGACGCTGCTCACCTGTTGCTGGCCGGCTTTTGTTTGTTCGAGATTTTTTCTTGAGCATGCTCGATGAGATTTTTAACGGCATCTTCAACGAGACCTATGACATGCGTAACATTGGCTGTGTCGAGAGCCGACGACTGATCACCGTACAACAGCACGTCGTCGCAGAGTTTCAATAATTGCGCTAACGCTTGATAGACTTGATTCGTGGCCGAGTCAAGGATTGAGCTGAAAAAGGCAAGAATCACGTTATGGTTGCTGCAGGTAAAACTTGCACTATACAAAACGTCAGTGAGCGAGCAGCTTACCTGTTTTCGTGTAGCAAATAAGACTTGAGCTGTGTATGTATGGTCGTGACCGTATCCAACACTACCGTTCCGTTACCCGGTAACATTTCCAACTTGTTCTTTGAAACTACATCTCGTAGATGATTGAGAGCCAACTGAACCTGCCGAACGTGCACGTGCAAATCCTTCAGAGGGCTCTTATCTTCGCTCGGCTGTTTCTGCAGCTGCTGCTGCTGCTGCTGCTTTTGTTGCTGACGATCGCTCGAGTCCGAGCGAGTGGCTGCTCTGATCGACGAGGGCGAAGCCGTCCTGACGCTGGACTGGCTGGCCATCGAGGTCGCGCCGCCGCCTCCAGCGCTGGCTGCCGGCGAGCGCATTTGCGACAGCTTCTCCAGGAAATCCTCCTTGAAGGAGCGCGCCCTGCGAGCTAGCTTGCCACCGCGTGCTTTGCCGCCGCCGCCGCCGACGACGACCACTGGTGAAGATGCCGCTGTCGCTGGGCTCGATGTTGTCCCGTTGCCAACGACCACCAGAGATCGACTGTCCACCTCTGCGAAAAAAAACAATCGTTGCTCGATAAAATATTTTTAGCCAGTACCTTCGTATGCTGAATATTTTTAGTGCCAAACCAACGTCAAAATTAATAATGCAAATTTTGAAAGTATAAATGAAGATGATGTACTCAAAAGGCTGACGTCGTATAAGCTTGTAAAATCGTAAGTGTACACAAGCAACTCCATAAGTAGAGTTCAAGTTGTGCGTGTAAGTTTGACGGGTTGCAGGTAGTTACGGCATATTTGATGACTTAGTTTCAGAGCCTTGCAGTAGCAAATTTGCAATGTAAGAACATGCTTTTTTATTCTGATTTTTCAAAGATTAAACAAGCTTCCGTCAACTAAATTATTTGAGACATCTTAATGCTATTTTAGAAAAATAATTTACTTGTATAAAAATTTTATCAAGACTTAAATGTCAGCTAATAAACTTGTCTAATTTATTTTGTTTTAACTATTTGAATTTATTTCATTCATTGGCATCATATTTTTAATATTTACATTTATTCATTTTATTAGATTATAAGATCAGTTAGAATTACAGGAGACTGCACGTGGTTAGACTTTACCTCAATACATTCAATGTTCAGTATTAAATTCTTTTTTAACAAAATATCATTCTGTCAGCATTATTATGTAATATTTTATCTTTAATATTAAAGCCGGTGTGCATAAATTATCATCATTATTTAGTATGAAATGAGGAATTGCGGTGCGAGTCGAAGGTCAGAGTTGTTGCATGTTTCTAACAAAACTGTTGTAGGTATGCTTTGCTAAAAAAACAAATTCATACGAGTTGTATTGAATACGTAAACGTGCCACATTTCGGCTTGATATTTTCACGTGGAAAATGTCACACCTTATAGACATTCAGTATATCGTAGGGCTATGGTACGAGCAACAGCACGAACGAACGAGCGAGAGAGGCACAAGCGAATATTGCATTAGAGTAGCAGTTAACTATATTATCACCTGTCAACAAAGCGAATTTCATTAAAACTCGATACTATAAAGCAACGGCAACAGAAGCAGCACGATGGCGACTCAAACTCTCTCTCTCTCTCTCTCTCTTTCTCTCTCGGCGCTTTATACAAAACACGGCACTGCAACAGAGATGAGTACAGCATTCGGCCGTAACAAAAAGGTTTTGTGGCTAGACACCGACTCGAACGAAGGAACTTGGAAACAAGTGTAAATGGAAAAGTTCATTCTCCTAGTTGACTCGAAACTTTTTTTTGCTATATTCTCTTTGTCGGTTTATATCTAGCAAAAGGAAAAAAATTCAATTAGCTGACTGCGAACTTATCACAAGAATTGCTAATTGCTTTTTTTCATTTCGAGCGATTCTCCTCTTATTAAAATTATTTTTGACAAAGAGAAACAACCGACAGTAATAATTGAAGATGGACTTATCAGGCATATACTGCTCGATCAAATGAACGTACCCCGGTGAAAATTCTTGAGTAATTTTTTTGAATTAATTTTGGGCGAGAATTTTTTTTCCTCTTCGGTCCATTTTTTAAATTCCAAAATTTTGATTTTTTTCAATCACTTCACTCGAGCAGCCGTAATCATTGATGTTTTCAAGAAATGTACCCACTTATGGGTGCTCAAGAGGACGCCAGATACACAAAAAAGTTCACAGAAACGGTTTATCATTGAGAGAAAGGACAATCGAAAATTTTAATATACATGTAGTGAAAAAGGAAGGAAAGTCCCACTAAAAATCGAGTTTAAGCTATGCATAAGCCTTCGAATATATAAAATCTACGCGGAAAACTTTTGACAAACGAACCAAGTTTGACTGAGCTGATAAGATAAATGAAGGATAAGCTCAAGTTATAAGGACGATTATACTTTTAATAAGCTAGGACTTAATTCAACACTTGGATGCACTTAAAAATTATTATCTTTTTCAATTATTATTTAATACTATCTCACTAAAAATGTTCAACGTTGATAACGGTAAAAAAATTTAATTTGAATTGACTTGAGAATGATAATTTAATTGTTTTAAGAAATTTAGACTTGACTCCAACCACTTTGAACACGATATTATCACTTTAAGTCTCCACCACTATATAGCGAGTACCTTTCGTTGTAAATTTGTAAGTGGCAAAGTCAAAATAATTGTGTAACTCAAAGCGTGGTTTTCGATCAATTAACGATTATCTTAGACTTTCTGTATTAGTGTATTACTCACTTTTACGTACAATTTTTTAAATGAATTTAAAATTAATATTATTAAATTCAAAATAACAGATTCATTGTAAATAAAATTATAAGTTTCAAATTTAACTATAAGGACATAATATAAAATATTGAAAAAAAACTTAATATAATTCTAATAGTTCAATATAATAATTCTAATATGTTCAAGAAATTTTTTCGTAGTCCAAAAACCATTTATGAAATGTTGAGCACTTCTGTGATTTAAAATGGGAAAAATAAGGATCAGAAAATGTTGTGGGTAGGGATGTGCGAGTGGTCCAAAAAAACTCAACTTGACTGAATTTATTTATCGTGATTAACACAACTGTAGAAACCTGAAGATCGTCTCTCTCATATAACTTTCCGAGGCATTCGACGTATAGGTAACACCTGTATCCGTATTTACATGAGCATATATATGTATTGGGCAAAAGCTAAAGATTCGCTTATCGCATTATTGTACGCTACGGATAGCTGGGCAAATACATAGCACACATTCGTCAAGCGAATGTGCGTTATAATGTGTTTTTGCATGCCACTCTCTCGCGCGCCGCACATCGTTCCACAGGCAGAGACACTGTATTACTAACTGAAATAGCTATTGCCTCGGACGAGCTCGAGGTTGTTGCCCACTGTCGCAACCATATGCTACTGCTGCCATAGCACGCGCTCAGAATTTCCCTGAAAATCCAGACGCAGTTTGTTCGTCGGCGAGGCCTGGATGCAGCACCGGTTTAATATGTATTCATGCCCTTGTTAGACGTAGCTCGGCATCGAAAGCTCGCAACTCACGAAACAATTCACATGGTACATTCATGAATCGAGAGGCCCTTGATTGAACCGAGCCTAATTGTGATAATTCCACATAAATTTGAAGAAAATTTTTTTTAGTAATTTTGCGAACTCTGAATTGAGATAAGCCATTTGAAACATTTTTGGGATTGGCAAAAAAGAGCAGCTTCAATGAACGCGGGTATTGCATTTCATCTAAGCTCGAGCAAGAAACAAGAAGCAACAGCGGCAGCGAACGTTACGTGCATTCCAAGCGTCACTTTCGTAACGTCACCGTGCACAGAATACGTGAAAAGCTGGAATATTCCAAGATATTCTGAACTTTACATGGGTAACTGGCTAAATTTAGGGTGTTGGCGCATAAAACAGAGAGAGAGACTGCGACCGTGGGATTCGTATTATTGGACGTATCTCGTGAGATTACATACAAAAAATTATTTCCAACAAAATATCTACAACAAAACAACATTGATAACGATCAATAGATTGTTGTAATCTATTGGTATTTATTTTATTGTTCTAAAGCAACTACATCGAGTTCTTAGTTTCTTGATTCACATGTGTTAATTTTCATTTTCCAGCTGTAAAAGCTTTTTATGCGCGTGAAAATGAAAAACTGAGCATTGGCCGAGAGTAAGAGCGAAATCAATATTTCAACGATAGCTCGCAATGCAGGAATGCGTAATGCAATAAGGTATTTGCCTTGCGAAATTGCTAGCTAGACGTGTAATATATAAAGGATCGAGGAGCGCGTGTCGCGCTCCACCTGGCAAGTATGACAGGAACTAAGTGACGACACGCCGCTACTCATATACAGCCCATCACTTTTCGCTAACTTTGTTTTCGCTCTCATTTAAATTTGATAAGAGATATCGAAAATCTGATAAGCCCATCAGATTCCTTGGAAAAAATCCTATCGATATGAGGTATTCGAATTTTCGAAAAGTTCACGACTTTCGATAAAAACAACATTATGAAAGTGAGAAGCATAAAAAATGTTCACACCTAAAAAATGTTAACACCTCATACGCATTGCCTTTGTGTGTTGTGTATACATATACGTGCTGTCGCGTATGTACATACGTGCTGTCGCGTATATATGTCGCATATATCGAAGATTCTCCTAGAAGTCGCGGTGCTTTCGCCCGAATATCACCCCGGGCGACTCGCTCGACGCACTAGGTTGAGATCAGTACTCGACGATGACTTTCTCCGGGAAGTCGCTGTGTTTTCGCACGAATATCATCCCGGGTGTCTCGCTCGACGCACTAGGTCGAGTCCTGTACTCGATGATGACTTTCTCCGGGAAGTCGCGATGTATTCACACGAATATCGTCCCGGGCGCCTCGCTTGACGCACTAGGTCGAAATCTGTACTCGACGATGACTTTCTCCGGGAAGTCGCTGTGTTTTCGCACGAATATCGTCCCGGGCGCCTCGCTCGACGCACTAGGTCGAGATCAGTACTCGACGATGACTTTCTCCGGGAAGTCGC